TTCTAATCAGTTTTGTGAAAATTCAGTCATTTCCTGGCATTGTTGGAGTAGGTGAATTTCTGGGTACAGTCACTTCTGGTAAACAAGAACAGCTCTCATCTTGGAATGTTTGCGGTGTACTGGGCACTGTGCTTACCTTAAGGTTTTCGCACACATTGTACCACTTAATTCCTACGATAATGTTCTTCATCTGTAAGAGGAGGCTGACTTGCCTGCCTCCTAGGGCTGTTGTGAGATAAGGAAAGGTGCTTTTTTAGAGCCTGCCTTAGGGAGTGTGCTCAGTAAACCAACTCTGCCCTTAACAAGGTAAGCATCGCTATTCTTATTGGGCTGATGAACTAACAGGCTGAGTGGGAGAAGCAGCATCCAAAATTGCTCAGAGTGCTTGTGGTCGAGCTGGGATTTGAACTCAGGGCCATCTGACTACAAGGCTTGTTCTCCTGCCCACTAGGCCAGACTGCCTCCAGAGGTTTTAACCTTTGCTGCTTCATAGCAAAGTGCAAAGGCAAACAGTGCCTCCTTGGACCCATTTCCTCCTTGTAGCCCCAAGCCACTAGGCCTTATTCCTACTCTGAAAGGGATAACACAGTTGTTAAAAATGATTAATAAAAAATGTGTCTTCCTAAATGCTTTATTTCCTGATTCCTGTTCTTGCGTGTCTCCTCACTTCTGCTCCGATTATTTTCTGTTTTCCTGGCGGCATAGTTATATATCTTTTAATGTCAGTGATTATACGGCTCCCTGTTTTTCCTTCTTCTTCCTTCTGAATTTTCTCTGTACTACCTTTCCTTCTTCCCTATCTCTTTCTCCTTCGTATCCCATGTGAGCAACGGGTGGGGAGGTGGGGGAGAACCGATCAGATCCCTGATTTGCAGCCAGTTGCCTTCCCAACAGACTGTTTATGGAAGGAAGTAGAGGAAGCTGATGGGGGCTCCATCTGATGGTAATTAAAATGGTGCTTAAAGCAGAATTAGGGATTTCATGACATTGGAAGAAAGGAGAATTAAATAAATCCTCCAGCTAAATCCAAACTGTCTAGGAGGCACATAGGAATCATTTTTACCTTCTGAGAAGCCATCCCTTTTTTATGCATCCTATAAAAATAGGTTTATAATAATCATAATTTTACTTTTTATCAGATTGGGAATTTTAAAAAGTCATGTTTAGTGGCTTCTTGACTGAAATTTTTTCAGTAATAACTAGGCAAATGACTAATGCTTGGAATCCACAGTGTGTTGAATTGAGATATAGAAGTGTCCAGTGATTGTCATTTTACTCATTTCTCAGTTGAAAAGCT